GGCGAGATTTTGGTCGGTTTTCAAGGTAGGTGAACAAGTATCTATTATTTTTTCGATTCACAGATTTTTTTAAAGAAGTTCTAGATATTTTTCCTCGATTGTCATATCGATTAACTTTTATCATGTTGAATGTGGGGATGGTAGACAACCTAGAATTTTGGTAGACCAGTTTTGAATTCCGAAGTCCAAAACACGTACGTTTTCCATTCCTGGGTTTCTCACAGAGCCGTGTTATTACTTTTTTTCGCATTAGTACGAGCCTTTGCCTTTTTTCTTTTCAGGGCCAAAACAACTTTATTAGTCTTATGAATATTCACGTCCTACATCTCGCCTCACTTTGCCGAATTTGCGGGGATGAAATTGAAGATCACAACCGCAAGGTAGATAATAACCGCTTTGTTTCCGAAATTCACCAAATCTGGAAAGATTTAATGTTGCTGGATTCTCCAAATGTTCATCCATCGTTAAAAAACAATCAAAGAAAGAAGGCAAATTTCAAGTGTAAATGATGTATTTCGCTACTCATTGAACCGGCACTAAATCTGGGATAAAATTAAAACATTGCAGGTACTACAGCAAGCAAGGAAAGCACCAGATGCGTGGAAGTCAACACGAAACAACACCAAAAAACAAACAAGAAAAATTAATAAATTTGAACTACTTTTTATTCTTGTTATGATGACCGGTTCTTTGATTCTTGTCCTGTAGAAGCTAATAGGTAGTACCGATCCTGTTTTTTGTATGATCTCAACAAATTTTCACACTCTCTGTAAGGCTATTTGTACACGGGACCAGTTTGCTTCTATCAAAAATCTTGCAAGCCATGCCAGTGAAGCCACGACCTCTGCGATCGGTCCGGTTTCAGTTCGAACGCCCCATTGATTCCTTGCAATGAATAATGCTCTTATTCTCTTACAGGAATTGTTTTCTTTGAAATATTAAATGTGAAACCTAGACGAGTACTGTAAGCTCATCTTTAATTCTGTCCGTCGACTCCGTCCGTTGTTTTGAAAATTTTTGAGCACTGGGGCGATGTTTTGATTTGTTTGTTGATAACCACAAGCGCACCTTCTCATTGGTTGAAAAGTGTCGCGTGACCAGCTGGCCCTGTCCTTAAATTTAGGGATATTCCGGACTGATTAAAGGTTTCTTAATACACGAGGAAGTAAAAACTAACGCGGATAACTCAAACTACATGCAAACATAGTAAACTTAAGCTAAATGAATATAGAGACAAGGTATGGGTACCTGTAGACTTCGATTTCGACGTTTGTCTTCAATGAAATCGTCAGTTCTTCATGCGAAACACGTCGCATGTCAAGAATTGTTTTGAATGGCATTAACCGCTACTAGCGAGCTCAGCTCAACCAAAACGACGAAAGAAAAGAGAAAATATAAAAAGGTTAATAAGCACAGCAAAAACACTGAACGTGCAGCACACTATTTGGCAGACTTCTTTGCCGTCATTGCACGACTAATGCTGAGCTGTCAAACTTGCAAAATTGAAATGGCAATACGATCGTCGCTTCATCAACTTGAGCGATCGTCGCAATTTCGATGTCGTCCGGAATACCCATACAGAGGCTCAATTTAGTTCTCAATGAATGTAATTTTAAACTCTACATATTATCTGAATGCTAAATTAAAATGTCACATACAACCCTTTACCTTTCCTGCTTGGGTTTTATACATGTAATCCCCTAATCTTACGACTTCCCGATATTTGACTACTTTATTTAAACCTGTTATCGCTAACGCTTCTTAAAAGTACACACGCGTTTACGTTGTTACACACCTATAGTCTTGAACAACGAGAGTAAACTCTTTGTTTGAAAAACTTGAACACGGTCTTCTATATATGCTGTTCCTGGAAAACTTTGTGGTTATGAAGCTAAAGTTATTTCTTATCTAGCGCATGTCTGGTAAATATATAAGAGCAGTGTATTATTTCTAATAAACAGTTTTCTCATATTCTTTTTCTGCCCACACGTACTTTATTCATTGATCTGTCTGTTGTGTTTTGGAGGTTGTCTTGGCCTGTCACTTTCGAAATAATTTCAGATATAAGCAAGTTAAGTTACCTCGTAATGTCTAGCGAGAGTCTTTTACAGCCGCCATGAAACTGTTATTTTTTCCAATATAGAAACAGGACTGAGCCATAATCCCTTGAAGATCAGCTGAAATAGTACGTGAAATACCTTAGAACCTTTTGAACTGCATTCAGTTTTGACGGTTGACGGTAAAAATAACCTTTTTTGACGGTTAAATCTTTCTAGGCCATTTTATGGCTGACTGTTAAACCCCATTAAGACTCTCAGTTAGGTACGTTGTTCCGCAATTTAATATTCATCTAAACTGGTTACTTTGACTTAGGTTTAGCGTGGTTATGTGTTTGTCAGCTGTACTGTGGAAATGGGGACGATGGAGACTTATAAATAAGTTACCTTTTATAGGAAGCTAATAGCCTTAGCCTGTGTTATAAATAGAACCATAGATACCGGCCTGTTCCTCTTTCTTTCTGGGCGATCCTTCCTTTCAACAATTATTGAATGAGGCTGAATATAATGTGAAGAATTATTCAGGAAAGTAGCTTAAGCTTTTGAAGTTGTACGAACGGAAAGAAAAGGTAGATCATCGATGGCGCCCCAAACTATGGGGGTATGGGGGCATGCTTCCCCAGAGAATTTTCAGTAGGTAAATACGAAGGAAAATGCAATAGCTAGTTATTATATTACCCATCTCTATTATTATTTATAAGGTGCAATGCTTACGAGAAAAAAGGATACAACAGTGACGCCATCAAGGAGGTTTATGCAAAGGGCGAGACTTCTACCCTTCAGACGGGCAAGGACACCAATATGGTGAGAGAAATTTATCAGTTATACCGATTTAATGATTAAAATTCTTTGAGGAAGCAATTTTTTGCCCAGATTTCAGCTGTACGTACGGGCGTATTTGCGTATATGAACGGTACGCTCAGTCCTGTTATGCAGATCGAGGAGCATGTTTTCTAACGAGGCCGAAGGCCGGAGGTGCAAGATAACAGCCTACTAGATCAGCATAATTCCTCACGTCATTCGACAGGCGAATTCAATAAATTTTTTTACTATTCCGTTCAAAATATTTCCAAGTTCTTAAAAAAGCTAGTACCTCCTCGACAGATCGAAGACGTTCTCCAAAGCTTTGGCCTATTTTTTGGCGCGGTTTCTGGACATAAACAGATGTATTTTTCTTGCAAAAACTCCTTAAAAAGTACATATCAGCAATCGGGCAATATGTTTTGAGTTTCTTTCGTTCAGTTTTAGCAAGAAAGTCAGCCATTTTGTGATCGGATAGCCGTGAGCGCCATTTTTTAAGTTCACTGTTAACCTAAGCAGCCGCCTTTCCAGGCAAATCTACAATCGATTGAAATCGTTTCCAATCAAATAGCCCGGAATCGATGCTATGTTGCTCGCATAATATCTTCCAAATATGGCAAAAGCCAGTTGAATTGGATGTGAAGAATTAGTCGATGGATTGAATGAATAATAATCCTCCTTGTAAATAGATAAAACTAATCATGACCAATTATGAACCTAAGTAGTAGTTTATGTTGAACTGTTTAAAATTGTCCTGTAGGCCGAAATTGTTCAGTGCTGATATCAGTAAACAGTATGCCGAAAAATCCTGATGAATTTGACTACATGACAAAGAAACGTTTAGAAAAGGCGATGAAAAGTGCACAGCGTTGGTGATCACAGCCGTAACAAAATTTACCAAATTCCTTAATATTAATCGAACATCGTGTTTGCACGATAATAGTGCGTACGAAGCTGATAAACGTGTATCGAGTCTTAATTCCATTGATGGAGAGGTGCATAGATCGTGCCTTCATCGGTAATTGAACGAGTCTTAACAGTGCTTTTATCGAGCCTTACAGCGTGCTTTTATCAAGCCTTAAGATGATGTTACACGAGACAATTCGCAACGAAGATTTTTAGCACAACACAGTGTTGCAACATCGTTATGACATTATTTCGAATGGTTACAACAATGTTCCAATATTGCAACGCTGTGTTGAACAAAAAATAGTCGTTGCGAGTCGTCCCGTATCACATCCCCCTTAGGTGAAGCCTATATGCATCGTGCGTTTAAAGACCGCCCTCTTATGGAACCCTTTGATATCGCGCGCATCAGATCGTGCCTTTCCCTAGAGGCTCAGTTCGGTGCTCATTTTTCGAATGTTGTCGTGTAGTGTGGTGTGACTATTTACACTGTGTTTTGAGTGCGTTGCGAGAAAAAGGAAAATAATGGAGATGAACCGTCAAAGAGTCCATTGCTTCCGTTTGCCTGGCTTTGCTAAGCCACTTTCACGGCACATTTGCGAGAAAGTAGCCGATACCTTAAGTTTGGAGACAGAGTGAAGTGAAATTGGTCACTGCAAATCGCGCATTGCAGATAGCAGGTCACAGACTGGTTATAAACGCAACGCAGTTTTTACGAGCCTTGTTTAAACGTCCACTACGAAGCTACAATCCCGTGCGAAGGTGCGTTGGGTTGCTTAAAGGTGTTTTCGTGCCTCTGTCTTCGCTCATAAATAGTGCCTTCACCCTGGTAAAACTGTGCCCCTTTTCGTGCATAAAAAAGTGCCGTTATTGTGGTTAAATGATGCCTCACCGGGACAAAGACACGGTGCTCGAAATGACAGAGAACTATAATAGAGCCTCGATGAAAGGTTGTATATAAAACGCATTAAAAGTTCACGTTCATACATATTCATCGGTCAGTTTTAAACTTAGAGGAAAATTTAGTATTGATTGATGCAGGTGCATCTCTAAACGCTTTGTCTCTCACTGGTTAAACGCTCGGTCTATTCTGTGGCCCTGGTTGTTTGAAAGGTGGATAGCGCTATCCACTCGGATAAATTACCATCCACTGGATAGCGCAATTGGTTTTCGTACAGTACTTATCCTCTGGATAGCACTATCTAACTTTTAATTAAATAAAAAAACAACGGGGACCTGGTCAATAGTTTATTGTATAGGTAAGTGATATCGAAACTTTATAATTTTAAAACGAAAGTTTAGACAAAATGGGTGATTGGCGTCTCTATAAGCTTCGTTGATTACTGTAAAACACATTGATTGCAGAGTAACCGAGCAGAAAATCCAGATTCTATGTAAGAGTTGAGCGGAAATGTTAGTAACCGTAAATGCAGCGTTAGACCATCTTTTGCAAAAAGGATGTCACCAACAGCGTGCGCAATTGGCCGCGAAAAATCCGTCGACACCGTTGGAAATAGAGCCTTCGAAATTACTGCAAGCTTGCTAAGTTTTTGCCAAATATTTCAGAAACGGGTACTACCAGAACTTTCAGAATGTTTGTGCTCCTAACCAAACAGACGTTTGGGAAATGCAGTGAGTCTGAACTTTGTTTTCCGGAAACACTACTCTCCAACGGGTTCAATGTAAAAAATGGAAAAAAAAAATCACGGAAGAATCAAGTGATTGCAAGAGAGGCTCTTGTTGAACACGAGTTTTTGTTACTAAATTTTCTGCCGTCTAGTCTTTGGGATTATCTACTTTTACAAATCTGTAAGGAGGATAGGAAAATTTAAAGAGGTTCAATTTTTTCCCCCAAAAACACGTCTTTTACGGTTGTTTCAGCCTCAGGGAAAACTCGCTTAATTGGGAAAACAAAAAACAAAAACAAAACAACTGTTCACTTCTCATAAACGAATATCCCGATTGCAATGCAAGCTGATTTGTAATTAAATAAAAAAGTTAACTACCGATAGAAAAGCAGTAGTTTTCCTTTTAGGTTCTACTTAATGGATGACTTAATTGATAAGAAACATGCCGTTAACTACCTGCAAAGTAATATTTCAAACCAAAACTGTTTCTTCGGCTTACTGTAATATTGGTTAAAAGACTAAGGGCACAAACTGACCGAAGGTGATTTAGAAGTTATCTTTTAGGTTGTTTCGTAAAATGTTTCTACTTCGTCTGGAGTAAACCGATAAGTGCCTGCCAGAAATGTCTGGGAGAAGGTGCTTCCAGGGCTGTACCCACTTGGTGGTCTGTAAGTATGGCCAACGTTGGAATGGGAACTGTTATTAGATGACGCGTTGTTGTGAATGGCAAGGTCCCAACCTGCTCCAAAAACAGGTCCATGAGATAAGCAGTCGTATATGGCATAAGGGTAACTTTTATACGCAGGAAGTTTCACAGGTGCCCATCGTGGTTTGTTTACCAGCGAGAAAAGAAATGCCTGGGAATCTTTTCGATACCCGGGGCAACTGCTGTAACCTGTTGGGAAAATAAGAAAAGACAAGAAAGCTGATACAGATCCTAATGTAAATTCCTCGTTTTGGTAATAAAGGGACTAAATTATAAATTGCTTTATCGTCTTGTTCTGGTCCACTGGCTGCTAGCGGTAGCCGCGAATCTAGCTCGACATACGGACAGACACAAACACAGGGTCATAACAGGCCAGAGCCCCGATATTAATGCGCGCCCGAGGAGGCCTAACCTCCACAGCAACCACCGCAGATCGGTTTCCAATAACCGGCAGGCGTTGCTTTCGTAATTAGTTTTAAGCATTCCTCCAGACACCTTTGGAGAGTGCCGGACACATTGCCTGTCAAGGAACTTTGTACTTCTGATTAAACGAACCAGACATTTCAAGGAAACGCGAAATTTGATCAGACTATTTGGGTATTATAAATTCATTTCACGGTCGATTGAAAATTTGGAAGTCGATCTTCGCGGCCGGCTTCGCAATTGATAACTACAGTTTTCTCGCCGCATTTGGATTCAAATAGGCTTGATATGCTTTCAATGGTTTTTCAAGTGCTTTCTTTTAAAGAAAATAGTGCTCCGATGGCTTATTTAACTTCTTTCAAGAGTAGTATGCCGTGTCAACATTGGCGACCTTCGAAGCGAAAGCGGCGAGTCGGCGTATCAAGTTTTTACTGAGGAGCCACAAGTAGGAATACACTCTCTGGTGGCAGTACATCTTTCTCCGGTTTGGAAGGAACTCTGCGTGGAAAAGACCCTGACCAAACAAATTTTTAAATCTTCTCTATTTGAAGGTTTCAGAAAGGCCGTCAACAATACACATTTTATAGTCTCCGGTGTAAACGAAAGCAAGAGCTCGAGCTCTACTTCACATCTCCTTGAGGAACAGCAACACCGATTATCTGATTCAATGGACGACCTTTTTGATCAAACGGCGAAGGATTCAAGTCTGTTTTCTCTGGCTTAAGACGATGTAAGTGTCGATGAGCCTCCAGTGACAAATTACTCTCCAAAAAGCCCGCCAATCACTGTCGAAATCCCGCCAAAATCTTATTCGCTGGCGGGAGCCCAAGACGCTGGATTACTCCAGATATTCTTCCACTTCAACATCTTCGTGTTCGCTTGGGCGATCTGTATAATCAACGTCACAGATACAGTATGGTTTCTATATCAGTCATTTTAGTCTCCTTGAAATGTCAATCATAATCCAAAAATTATTATTACAGGTTATCTTTGTATTGTTACTTGTTTTTTACTTAATAGGCCAAATTATAGGGCTACCTTCTCCCTCAGAGCTTACAGGCGGCGCGCCCAAGATGCTGAGGTGAAGGTAGTCTCTCTTTTAAAATGTCGGTTATAAACCAAATTATTTTTGTAGGTTATTTTTGCAGTGTTATTTGTTTTTGAAATAGGCCAAATTATGGGGCTTCCCTCTCCCTCAGAGCTTACAGGCGGCGCGCCCAAGTTTCTGAGGTGATGGTAGTCTCTCTTTTGAAATTATAATTTTAGGCTATTTTTGTAGTGTCATTTGTTTTTGAAATAGGCCGAATTAATTATGGGGCTACCCTCTCCCTCAGAGCTTACAGGCGGCGCGCCCAAGTTTCTGAGGTGAAGATAGTCTCTCTTTTAAAATGTCGGTCATTTATCCAAATTATTATTGTAGGTTATTTTTGTGTTGTCATTTGTTTTTGAAATAGGCCAAATTATGGGGCTACCCTCTCCCTCAGAGCTTACAGGCGGCGCGCCCAAGTTTCTGAGGTGATGGTAGTCTCTTTTTTGAAATGTCGGTCATTATCCAAATTATTTTTGTAGGTCATCTTTGTACTGTCATTTGTTTTGAAATATATGCCAAATTATGGGGCTACCCTCTCCCTCAGAGCTTACAGGCGGCGCGCCCAAGTTTCTGAGGTGATGGTAGTCTCTCTTTTGAAATGTCGGTCATTATCCAATTTATTATTGTAGGTCATCTTTGTATTGTCATTTGTTTTGAAATAGGCCAAATTATGGGGCTACCCTCTCCCTGAGAGCTTACAAGCGGCGCGCCCAAGTTTCTGAGGTGATGGTAGTCTCTCTTTTAAAATGTCTTTCATTTATCCAAATTATTATTGTACGTTATCTTTGTATTGTCATTTGTTTTTGAAATAGGCCAAATTATGAGGCTACCCTCTCCCTCAGAGCTTACAGGCGGCGCGCCCAAGATTCTGAGGTGAAGGTAGTCTCTCTTTTAAAATGTCGGTCATTTATCCAAATTATTATCGTAGGTCATCTTTGTACTGTCATTCGTTTTGAAATAGGCCAAATTATGAGGCTACCCTCTCCCTCAGAGCTTACAGGCGGCGCGTCCAAGTTTCTGAGGTGATGGTAGACTCTCTCTTGAAATTATAATTGTAGGTTATTTTTGTAGTGTCATTTGTTTTTGAAATAGGCCAAATAATGGGGCTTCCCTCTCCCTCAGAGCTTACAGGCGGCGCGCCCAAGATTCTGAGGTGAAGGTTGTCTCTCTTTTAAACTGTCAGTCGTCAACCATAGTATTATTGAATTTTCATTTTCCAGACTTCATAGTGGCAACTTCTTTATAGTTTTACGTGATTTGTGTCAAAGACAAGACCAGGCTAACAAATTTATTCTACTTTATGCGTGGTGCGACTATCACCGTGGCTGACTGGCCTCCAAAAGTCCTTTATAATTTGGACGCTTCTCAGGAGTTCCTTCACTGGTTGTAATCCAGAATTGACGATTCTCAGCAGCTTGAAGCTCTTGCTTTGCATTAGTTGGTCCACGGACAGCAAACGTTCCTTGTCCCGAGTACAATATCGATTCTCGATTCTCGACTCTCGATTACCGTATCTTGCTCGTGCAAGGCTTCGGCAACGGGACCAGTACTAACACCATTGCACGAAAACTATTTGGTAGGAGAAGAGTAAAATGGTGGCTGTTTGTGCGCTACCTGTCTGATGCTCGGTATATCACTGCCAAGCTGCGCAACAGAATGCGCGAAAAACCCTCCGGTACTTGAGAAAATACGATTTTTAATATCCACCTAAAAACCTGAGCGATGTGATTTAGTAACTTATTCATGGCGTTCAGCTTCCGGTTTATTCAGCTTATTGCCAGTTGTAGGCGAAGTTCACGCGCACATTATCGCACTCTAACTGGGTCGATTGTGAGGAAACTCTTATGTCACAACTGATGTCAGTCATTGACTAAAAACCCCCGCGCGTTAAGTCTTTGTGCGACGGACGTCCCTTAGAAAAATAAATTGCCCACACTGATCGCCAATGCTACTTGCAAAGTGTTGCTGATTGAGTTGTGTAATGTATTCTAGAGAGTAAATTTAGTACTAACCTCGCAGACAAGGATGTAATGAGGCATTTATTTGCGTAGTTAGGCCTGCTATCCATTGGGCAAGCATCCCTTTTATTTTCTTTCGATAGCCTGTCCATGCACTAACCTTTGGGTACAGAAACTAGCTGCCCTTCGCAGTACCAAAACTTGATAGTTTTGGCGTTCAATATTTTTAACGGGTGCTCACAAAACACCGGGACTGTATCGTGCGCCTTTGGCGCTTTGGTTCATCGCGTTTTGAAAGATGGAAATTTTGATATTCCCCCGTAAAAGAAGACTGATAAAACGTGTCTGTCATTGACTACAGTGAAACGCCCAGAAATGACGGATGTTTTGAAAGAAACGCGAAAACTGATAAAATTAAATATTTGTTTTGATAAGTGAAATTAATGAGAAATAACCATAAACTAGTTTTGTTTTTTTGTTTTTTAAAAGCGGTTTGTCTGGTACCAGATTTGTACAATTACTTTCAATCAAACATCGATCGGGTTTTGTTAATTATGACAGAATGTAATTAAAAAGCATTATGTTGACAGCTACAAGGCACATGCTTGCCTTAAGCTGCGAGTATCCCGCCATGTTTTAAACAAAGGGCTTGTGACCAAGCCGGCATTCTAATCCGCCACAAATATGTGAAGCACGCGTCTTTCAAAGTCGCCTAGTACTTAAAATCGGGGCTCTGGCCCTAAATCTAAAATATGGAACACTCTTAAAATCTACATATTATGCATAACCAATAAACTACATTAAAAATGTCAAGGAAAAGATTCAAGTTCCTTTGCCACTGGTTAAACAAATACGGCAGAAAAGTAAGTCAGAAAATTGCCTAAAACGTATTAAAAGCAACAACTAAAAGTTACAGAAAATGTGTTGAAAATTGCCTAAAGGTACTTAAAAAAATCCCTCAGTATTTCTAAAATTAAAATTGGATAACGCCTTAAAAGATAATCATAACTTTCAAGTCTCTTAAAAACATAGCTCAACTCCTCGTAGGGAAGTTCTTCAATAAAACGTTTGAATTAATCGCGCAAAGTACATGTAAAATCATCCGCCATGGAGGACTAAAAAAGAGACTGCGAACCAACCCTTTGCCAAGCAACCGCCCCTGCACCTTTCAGGATTGCGTGACGAGTTTTATAAATATTGACAAGTTTTATATATCGTGAAAAGTTTTATATTTTTCAACAAGTTTTATATATTTTGTAACAAGTTTTAATTGTGCACTATAACCTTAATACTAAAATTAAGAAGTTTTATTCATAAAGCAAAATGTTTTACATATTTAATGTAAAGGTTTACATATGGTAAGACGTATTTTTGATACAAACGGCATTCCATACAATACATCAAACTCGTCAACAATGATATTAACACCCCTGGGTCGACATGTCTGCATCTTGAGCTCAAAACCGACGAAGTGGCGCATATCTCATGGTCTTCTCCGACTCCTTTGCTTCTCTTTTCTCCATCCAAGGGCAGCTCATTTCTAGTAGTGTGACTTTCTTATCTCCCTTATTAATTTTTTTGATATCTATTGTGTTTACTCTGACTTCAGTGTTCTTTGCATAAACTAGCTCATCCCAGTAAGCTTTAGCTCTCTGGTTTTCGTCTACTGGTTTTGGCTCGGAAGGAGAAGACCAAGGGGGGGAATATTGTCAGTTCTTTTTAGCAACTCAAAGAGAAAGAGAATTGTGTCGAACGAGGTAGTTGGTCTGCGCCAGCGCCAGGCAGCCAGCCAGCATGTGGTAATGGATTCAATCCTTCATCTCATGGTGACAAACTTTCGTTGAAAGGAGCTGCTGGTACAATTCCTGTACGCCAGCGATGGTACTAGACGGCTGACTGATCTCCAAGCTGCTGGCTGCTAGTCATCGTCCAAGTCCTTGTCATTCCACCTCGTTGCCACTAGCAGTTTCGTTGCCAGTTTTCACTTTTATCTTCTTCCATTCACTTTTTCTTTAATTTTCCTTGGCACATCCCCCAATTAACGCTCCATTCACCTCATCTGTTTTAGTAACGGGATTTGCGTTGAAGTTCCAAACCCAGTTCCTGGGCATATTTCTTGGCATCTTTAATTAACGTTCGTCGACTACTTTCCTCAGCGTTCTCTTCATATCTTCTAACCACCTGCATTACGGTGTCTAGTTACTGTACAGCTTGACCGCCGCTTTGATCTTAGTCAATATATATTCTTCCTCCACTGACTTTTATAACGCCTCTTCCTCCGTGTTTCCCAGGGAGGTACATCAGTTCTGTTGATCCTAAGGGGTGTTTTGGGTAGATAGATAGATAGATATATAGATAGATAGATAGATAGCTTTATTAAAAATCCATTGCAGCCCAAGGCCTGGATTACGGACTGTACAATACGTTGAATCCTAAGACTGGCTATTATGAATAAATAACAGTAAATAAATAAAACAAAAGAACAAAGATACTACGTCATGAAATTTAAGAAAATAGCCGCGAATTTACAATAAAACCATTAGAAAATAGCCGCGTTATGCATGATAAAACTATTCATTAGTCTATTTGTTCTACAAAGAGGCACGTTAAAAGCGCGCTTTCTCCTTAAGGCTACAGTACTAAGATTACGTGTCGGCAAAAGGCCATGTTGGAGGCTGTTGTCCTTAATCTCATTGAATAGGCGCTCTGTCAGCCATTGGCGCCGTTGATGGAGGGTGGCAATATTGCACTCTTTGAGAGTCTCTTGATAGCCTAAATCTGGGAAAATAATTCTAAGTGCACGGCGCTGAATTTTCTCTAGCTCTTCAGAGAGATACTCAGGCAGACCATTGTGGAAAACTTGGCAGGCATATTCAGACATGGGCCGGATACACGTAGTATAGAAACAAAGTAGCTGCGCAGGATCTCCTTTTGCACGCTTAAGCTGCCTTAATAGATATAGCCTAGAGGCTCCTTTTTTTGATAACATTCTCTATGTGAGCGTTCCACTTTAGATTGTTTGAAATTGTGAGACCAAGAAGTTTTGCGCTAGTTACAACCTCAATTGATTTGTTGTTAATAGTAACTGCTTCGAAAGGATCAACAGACCTTGAGAGACTTATCTGCAACTCTTTACACTTGGTCTCATTCAATTGGAACTTATCTATTTCGGCTTGCCTAACTAGGTCGTCTACAGCAAATTGGATTCCACTTGGTTGACCCTTGTGGACTGTCTCGGCCATCGATGTGTCATCGACGTACTTCCAAAGGTTGACGCCATTGACATTGATGTCATTTATCATTACCAGGAAGAGCCAGGGCCCCAATTTGGTCCCCTGCGAGACACCTGCCCTGACAGATCCCCCATCCGAGTAGCAATCGTGGGCGAGTTTCACTCGTTGCTTCTTGTCAGTAAGAAAATCTGCAATCCAGTCCAGCACCCAAGGTGGTAGCTCATAATCAGTAAGTTTAGCCATAAGAATGGCGTGGTCGATGAGATCGAATGCTTTCCTAAAGTCAAAGAGCACCACGCGCACTGTAGAATCGTTGCCGTCAGTATTCTTATACCAGTTGTGGAGCATGCTGATTAGGGCATGCACTGTGCTGGAGTTCGGAACAGTTCCATATTGGTTCTGGTCAATCTTCGCAAGGACGGCAGGCTTGATGTAGCCGTCAACGACAAACTCTTCCCCAACTTTGGAGAGAATTGCTCTGGCTGATCACCTTTCTTACCTCTCTGTCTAGTTGTTGTAGGTCAGCAATTATATTGGCCAGATTTGAGTCTAGACATCAGATATTGCAGGACGGGCAGTGTGAACCTTGTTTGAAATTTCCCATAACCGCTAGGAATTTGTAAAAGGATCCCTGCTTCAAACTCTGTGTCAATTCAGAGTCACCGATCTTCACTCCCTCTGAATTCTCAGAGAGATATCCTCTCTTTACATGAACCACTGGCACACTTCTTTTCACTCCACTGCAGACCTACATCCATCATAGCCTCTCTCATAGATCTCATTACCCTCTGCAGTTTTCCTTCGAATGCTACTTAAATCTTACTGAGATCTTCCATAAACAAGGGATGTGTGACGTGCATCTTAATGGGCTTAGAAAGCTTGTAGGCTTTTGTTGCTTTTAATTTCCAAGCGACAGGATTAATGCTTAGCGTGAATAAGCGTGGGCATAAGGCATCTCCGTGGGGGAGACCCCTCTTGAATCTTATATGTCATATGTCTCCACTCCTGGCTTTGTTCTCTCTACTGCGTATTCCATCGCGAACTCAGTCGGTATACCGCTTTTTCTATCCATTCCGGGAACCACTGAAGCGTTAACACCAGTTTCTCAGCCATTGATGATCAACAGAATTGTACGCCTTGCTCACATCGATGCGGCCCAGACGCCTCTTCGGCTTTCCTGACAGACCATGCGATCTATTCTCTATCGTTTCGCTACACCTTTCTTTAGCCCCTCAGGACTCTGATCCGCCTGCATGAGATCGTTCTGACTCATTTAAATGCTCGTTTACTGGGCCGAGTAAACTGTAAACCACTTGTAGAGGGTGTTCAGGCACGTGATTGGTCGTTGATTGTCGCTGGTAAATTCTTTTTAGCTGGAAAACTTTCTTGCACCAATAATTGGCAGTTCGATCTGGGTCGGGAGCGCGCCAGTTCTTTTTCTAAGTGATCACCTTCACGGCTTGGGTGTGGTCCAGCTCAAACTATCCCCTTCTGCTGGCATGCCTTGTAAAGCCTTTTGATAGTTTCGAACGGGAGAAAGTGACGTGATCTTCTCAGTGCTGCTCTCATTCTGTAACCCCTTTTCCAACTGGAGAGAAATATGTTCCTTAAAAGCAAGCTTTTTGTCCAGAGTTACTCCTAAAATTTGTAAGTGTTCAGAAACAAAAGTAGGTTGAGCTTGATCGTCCGGGTGAACGTAGTCCTGAATAGGACTGTTGTTGTTGTCAGTGTCTGACCTTTCGACAACCTGTGCGGTAGTCATCTTCAGAGTCAAAGTGAGTTGTATCACGTCAGTTGATGGTATTATACTCTGGTTATTGATCTGATTAGTCAATTACGTCGCGATGTTATTGGTCGTCTGTCAGTTAAGCCGTCATGTTATTGGCTATGAAGACTCGTAAACAGTAATTGGTGCGTTTCGATCCGTCTATTGTCACAGTTAAACAGTCGTCTATTGTTAGTCAAATTGTTCAGAAACAGTTACGGACGCATTATCGATTCGGAGGGCGAATTCATAATTTGAATGACCAAGGACGAGAGCTTGTGTCTTGTCTGGGTTTATTGTGAGATAATTTAAGTTGTAATAGACGGGGGGTTCTGCGCAGTAGTGGAGGTGCTGGAGTGACGTCACAATAGCATAGGGGATTAAAATGATGAGATCATCATTTAAAAATAGAAAGGTTTTCTGTATAACAATCTAGGGAATTGACGTCATCAAAAAACGACGAGATCATCATCAAAATAATCATTTCATATGGTGACTGGTGAGATGACATCATCAGCATAAAGTATAAATGGCTTTTTGACATGATCAGCTATTTTCTATAGTCTATGACATCATTACTTATTTTTCATTATCGTATGATCGCGAGGGCCACAGTTCCCCCTTCGAAAGAAATAACGTCTCTCATGAAAACATTTTGCGACCTCCCAGGGTCAACAATTTCAAGATGAAAGAACTCCATTCTGAAGTATTTCTAAAAGTTAATTTGGGCAGACTCTTGGTGTTCTTGAAATTTGCAGAGGATCTGGAACTGACGCAGGAAGAATGGGGACAATTATGTGCTGTTATTTATCCCACTTTGTCAAATCTGAGAGCAGTTATATAAGGCGATGATGTAGGCAGTAAAATCATTTAAGACTCGAACATTGCGAAGTGATTAGAGCGATGGGTTGTCCACCATCGACCACGTTTGGACATCAATAGTCAGTTAATTATGCGATTTCGTAAGCCCACCGTTGCATACAAATTAGTTGAGCTCTGTAGGAAAAACCCCAAGAGAGAACCTCCCGTGACTTATTATGATAAAAACAGTAAAAACAAAATAACTTAACAAGGATCAATTGAAATACGCGCGACTTACAATTGCTAGTAATAAAACCACAAGACAGATACCGTTTTAAAAACTTTATTAAAAAGCAATAACAAAAAAATGAGTCAAATACACAGCGATTTGAAAGAAAAGCGAATAAAAATTAATCCTTTGACTGACTATTACAAATCCGTTTTTTCCGTTCTATTTCGAGGAATAATAAATATCCTTCCGAGTCTACACAATTTTCCTATGGCCTCTAAGACAAGAGTTCGACTTTCTTTGTTTCCTGCACTTTGTCTTGTTCTTTGTAGTCGGTCTTTTAGCTTTTGCTTTAAAAGAGGCCTCATTTCTCTGTGATCTTGACAGTTCGCAGTACACCGTTTCTTGTGTCTGTACTGGATTGCGACAGTGATTTTTTCCGGAATTATCCGATTCACAATTCGTAAACGACGACTTCAACTTTAGGTTGCAGTTTTGCCTCTTGTAAATACTGTCTTCGCTGTAACTGGTCTAACTGATGAACATCCGCGAGATGGTTAGCTAATCTTACAAGGTACTTCGCCCCACAGGATGAGATAGGTCAGTTTCTGCAAACTCTCTTGTAAACTGAACGGGCAAGGGCCAATTCCAAAAACACAACACGTTCACGATCAGCAAATGTTTTTACTATTAACGAACCATAAAAGTAAATTCCTACAAAGAGCGAAATAATAATAGTTACAATACAGAAAAACTACTTTAAGGCGACTGCAAAATGAAATTAGTGAAAAACGATATGAAAACGAAGCTGCTTACCAAATGCTGAGGATGACAGGGTTGGTGGTCAGGGCCACCGAGGAAAAAATCTACTTCCACTAATGCTGTTACACTAATAGACACGTAAACTGGTAATTAAAAAAGGGCGAGATAACAAACTATAACGAAATTTACATACAGCACGTAACAAAGGAACGTAATTAACGAAATACCGGAGAGCGAAAAGAAAAAGAATACACGATAACAATAAGTAAGTGAGAAAACGAAAAACAAAAGGAAAAAAAACTCGCCCTAACATAAACCATGTTGACAGTTGGATGGCTGAACACAAATGACATCTTTTTCGCAAATAGTCAGGTTATATAGAGTGTCAGAAAGCCCAAACACAGGCCAGAAAGGCCATAACCAGGCCTGAAAGGCCAAAACCAGGCCAAGAGGGACAAAAGGAGACAAACGGGCCATTTCTAGTGATGTATCTTTATTTTTCTCAAACTCACGCGTGGGTGTCGCGCGTCGCTAGTCACGCAACAGCTCTCGACTTTTTTGAAAGTCTACTTTATTCAGTGTAATCACAAATAACAGTGCCTAATTAAGAACGTTTTTCATAGACTATAGAAAATAGCTGATCATGTCAAAAAAAACATTTCTAATTTAAGCTGATGATGTCATCTCCCCAGTTACCATATTAAATGATTATTTTGATGATGATCTCATCGTTTTTTGATGACGTCAATTCCCTAGATTGTTATACAGTGAAACCTGTATTAGCGGACACCGTATTAAGCGGACACCCTCTATTAAGCGGACAGTAGCCGAAGTCCCAAAATTTGTGTCCCTTATTTACTTTAAATGAAACCTTTATTAAGCGGACACCTCCGTTAAGCGGACGCGGACACCTAAAAAGTACCTGAAATGGTCATTTCCATTGTTGCCAACCTTTATTAAACGGACACTTTTAATTAAATTCCACCATCCAACATGCCAGACACCGGAAATTTTTAAAGATTGCCTCGAATTGCCACCTACAAATTTTTCGATTTTTTGCATTTAAAAACTTGACTTGACGAACTTATTTGATTAGATTCACCGTACTGTATTGTTTTCTATTTCGTTTTGTTTGTATAAAGCTTTTTTCACTCATCTGATTTCTTCAAATCTGAGTTGCAATCGTTGTTTATGGTACTATGATCAATTGGTTAACTTTGAAAAAGAAATTAATGTAAAAGTATATCGTCACAGTCACTGGGAGCATTCTAAACGTTTCCACTGTTCATTTGAATAGCATTTAATACCTCATATGACGTTATCTATCGAAACCTGTATAAGGGGGACACCCTGTATTAAGCGGACACTACAGCATTCCCCGAGGGTGTCCGCTTAATACAGGTTTCACTGTACAGAATACCTTTCTATTTTTAGATGATGATCTCATCATTTTAATCCCCTGAGCTATTGTGACGTCACTCCACCACCTCCACCACTGCGCAGAACCCCCCGTCTATAACTACTAATTTACATTGAACGAGTCCGATAAGGAGCTTAAGGCATCGTTAATTGGTGTCAAATTCTAGGACGGCTGCCGAGGTATCAGCAGTATAGTTACATAGTTATATCATCCGCGTATAATCTTAGCGAGGTATCTGAGCAAAGTGATTTAAGACGCTTTAAAAGATATTGAACAGGAGAGGGAAAAGAAGAGAGCCTTGAGGAACACCAGCACTGATGCTCTCCACTGTGAAAATGTTCCTTCTATCTTAAATCTTTGTTGTCGACCCTTAGGCGGCTAACGAGTCCAGAGCACTATCTGTCAGCCCATACGCCTTAAGCTTGGCCAAAAGGAGATTGTGACAGACAGAGCCAAACGCTTTGCTTAGGTCGACCGCTACGACGGCAACATTAACTTCGTTGGTCAAAATAAATGCGCCAGTCTTCGGTCATCTTTAAAAGAGCAGATCGAACAGGATAAGTGTCCTTTAAGGAAGCCAGAAAGGTTTTAATGTAAAGTGTGGTCGAATGTAGCCACATAATTGGACATAAATAAATAACTCTCTCGTACAATTCAGCCATGCTTCCAAGCACAGAAACAGGTCTGTAGTTTTTCTTGTCTGTTGCATTATGGTTTTTGAAGATAGACGAGACATTGGTTCTTTTCAATTCCAATATCCAATCGCGTTTCTCAATAAATTTATTAATCAACTTGACCACTTCTTCTGCTTTTGCCGGCGCAGACAGCGATAGAACTCGAGGAGAAATGCTGTCAACGCCCACTGATTTACTTCGGTCTAAATCTTTCAAGGCTTTTTTTATAAAGACTAAGTCGACTGGTTGGAAAGAAAGCAGTCTTTCATGATGCCATTTTTCAGTGATCTTTTGAACACTAGGATGTGATTAAAATCAGACAAAGTCTTAAGGAAGATAGCAATAGTTAACTACAGAGTCAAGTATAATTTATGCCCTTACTATATATCTGATATTTTTTATTTAATAACCAACCGAAGTTATAGCCTGAGAAATTCAGAGAATTTTATGATTCTAGTATGCATACTACTACCTCTGGGAACTACAGTATTAGATATATTGGTCCTATAATATGGTACAAACTAAGGGACTTGCAGAGATTAGCAGGGGGGAGAGGGGTGGGAATTTTAAGTTTGGGTTCGGAAATGAGGTGACCCATCTCTGCAATGGGAGTGAAATTTGCTAACCCTGCCCTTGACCTTGGCCTAAAATATCATGACCCTCCCCCTCTTAAATGATAAAATCTAGTTCTTGCAATACATTAGGATGAGTCAGTATTATGAAAGCTCAAAATATAGTCTAATCTGTTCTTTCTAATGCCATATACATACATTTTAGATGGCAGCATTAAGAGTCCGACTCTGATTCTGACAGCTCATCACTCGACTCTCCTATTTCTCCCAGGTTATTTTACAAAAAAAAAGAACTTCTGTTTTCTTCTGCGGGTGAACCTCTACATGATCACGGACACATATTTCATGACCCGTACCCATTTAACAGCCCATTTTTCATGACCCCTCCCTTTTCCGCAGTCCCAAAAAGTTGTGACCTTCCCTCTGTTTCCACCCCCCTCCCCCCCTGCTAATTTCTGACAAGTGCCTAAGTATGCGCATTAAGAGCTCTGAAACACTTGCTTCTTTTAAGAACCAGCAGGTGAGAGAAGTGGACATTGAGAACCACCCAAGAACTCTCACCTGTAAGAACAGTAACTTGTGTAACTCTTAGAATAAATAATGAGACGGTTAGGGTTTTCGAGTTTGTATGTTCGTTTGTGTGTGTGTGTTTTTTAAATCTAGTTAGGTGTTCACAGTTAGTTTACAGTGCGTGTAAGCTAGGCATTTTGACTCGTTTATGAAGTCTTTATTGGTAATGTGAGCCTGTATCACGGTAACGCTGTTCGATGCACTTATTGATCTCAAGACGACAGCCATGGTTAGTAAAAAGTCTAGACTGGAAACTAGCGGACGCGATTGGTTAAAATTACGCATAATTTACAATTACTGGATTCGACCTTCGCCCAATCCTCCATAGATTCCCCCTCCCAGTAAGGACTGTGGTGTCATATGTCGGTTCCTTGTATGTTTGAATTCATATCTACCATTCAATGCTGTCAGTTATAAAATGTGCTTGAAGAAATGCTTTTTCATTTTTTCCCTTACTTTGCTTTTCCTTTGTTTTGACCATGATATGGATGTTCAATATTAGAGATGTACATGTAGGCTGACGTTGGCTAATGCAAGCTTTCATGATATGCATGCCTTGCCTGGTCCTTTCAGTGTGCTACTAACTATATGAAAATGGGTGGCCAGGCTTGCAAGACCTGAGCAATTATAATCACATCATTCTAAACATAAAACAGTGCAACCCTCATCAAACAGTTTTCACCTACAGGCACGTCAAGAGAGGAACTACACAACAGCTGGCAAAGCCTAGAGACAAATTGTCATATTCAGTAATTAATAGTAACTGAATTTCTGCACATAAAGTGAAGTTGACTGATTGTTGATGATCTTGCTAGGGGAGGTTCATATACTTTGGCATTGGTGGAGAGTGTTGATTAAGATAAATTCTTCTAAGGTCGTCATATCCTTTATTGTCACAGTGGAGCCCATCGATAATTCGATACCCTTAGATTTACCTATTTCGCTACCCGCTAACAAAATTCCAGAACAACGCGAAAAACTGGCAGTGCTTTTTTCAAGGGGAAAATTCAAAGAGGCGACCGGGTCCCAACTCATTAACAGGAGAAACCCCTTTAAGACGAAGATGTGGCGAAATATTATAAATTGCATGAGGCCCAAGACTTGGCGCAAGACCACCAAAACATTGATTACAATAGAGCTTTTTGATGCTCGGTAGAAAAGCCATTGGTATGTTCGTCAAAGTGGATGGCGTGGAAGCTTGCAAAAGGACATACAAGAAGAATTCATAATTAACTCGGTGTTGTCGTGGAAACTTTGCAAACGGACATACAATAAGCAACTTGATTTTTTCGTAATCAACTCGGCGTTTCCGTCTCTGGCTGGTATTACAGCATTGCGCAGCGGCCGCCTGCTCGTGGTTGCCAACGCCGCTCTGAATTTACAACCAAACACATTGTTTTTGAAAAAAAAAAAAATAATAATTAAAAAGCAGCCTGCGAAAAAACCTGGACAATAACTTGACGAAGAACCTGCAAAATTTCTTGTCTAAGAAATTCACAACAAAACTTTTTAAAATAATTATATATGGAAGAGAAAGCTGATGCAACTCCCGAAGTTCCACCCGCTACGTTTGAAGTTCCAGCTGCACCCATTCAAGTTGGCTCAAAAGTCAAAACTAACATGGTTTGCAAAAAATCCTGGCCGAGTTGCGGCTGTTGAAATATTAGAAGAATATAACCGCTTATATACAACGGTGAAAGTCATCAGTGACAAGCTGACTCATCCCTGTGTAATAGAACTTTCTTCACTTTGTATACTACTACTTCGCCTTATTTGCGCTTTATTAAAGGAAAATCAGAGAGAAAGTCGTCTTCGTAAATATTTAGCCCTAACCCACTCCAACACCCATATCCATCATTTTCCCATTACATTTTTTTAAAATTCATGTTGCTATTTAAAAAGCTGTTAATTTTCTTAATAGTATCATTGTTTGACTTTCTTGCATGAAACAAAGTTACGATTACGAAAACGAATACGATTCCCTAACGAATTAACCCCACAGAATTGGTGTTAAACATGCAAACTCGAATTCCCAGACATTGTTTTGTTAAAATGGAGAAAGTAAGTAACGAGTATCGTCGGAGAGGGGCCGATCGGGGGTCCGTACGCCAACAATCCATCCAGCTTAGCATGCGCAACCATGGTGTGATACTAAAAGGTGGCCGACTTTGTATGGTGTTTAGACTGTTAAAAATAAGGTCACTTACCACTCCATGAGAGCTTAGTGTACCCTCCAAATATGTACGTCCCTCCGACTCTTATTATTGTTACAGTTGGTCCTTTGTTGCCACATCCGCTGTGAAAAGTACTGGCAGCCCAGCCATCCACGGACGCCCGCCAACAGCGCTTCCATTGTGAAGATTCGCTTTGGGCGACTGGTTTGAGCCATGTGCTTAAATTAGCTAAGTGATGCACATTATCTCCTAAGATAACGGAGTCAGCCAGTCTCTGTGGTAAGACTGATAAAAGGGAAGAGAAAAGAAAAGGTGATTAGGGTAGCATCTTTTTTCGATGATATCACATTTGGAGGATGGAGCAATATGCCATCAAATCGATTGCTGGCATCTTCTAAATATGGTGTTGATCAACTCCGTTTCCAGGCGCGGCCGACTAGCTGATTATTCACCAGCGAACTCTGAAAAAAAAGGGTTCACGACTATGCGGAATAGCTGAATTTTAAACTAGAACTGAATGGAAGAATTGCAATAATACGTAAAACAACTCGCTCGATGGGGAGCACTCCAACGAAAAACGATGAGGTAAAATTAGTAAATAAGAATTAAGAAATACTTTGGATGAAAAATAAACAATGAATGAATTAGGGTTTCGTATAATGTGAAGGATTACTACTCAGCCTTAGTCAATAATTGCTAACGGTACTTTTAAGTAACTCGTTCTTAAAAGAAGTAATTATATATTAAGAAAAATAAGTAGGTTAAATGTGCAATAAAATGTAGACATAAATCAAATTATAGAATAGTGTATGTATGCATAAATAAGTTCGAATGTAATGTCCTACATCCTTATTCAAATCTAATCCTTATTATGAGCTAGATGATTTAAATTTACGCCATTTGCACTTTGGACGGAAGTGAGGTAGCGCATGATCTTAAGTGGCGGCTCATGATACAGAGTTATTTAAAAGTCAAAAATGCCATTTTCAGGCATTTTCCTTTTGCTGACTGCTTTGGGGGACCTAAACGATAGCCTAAATTCGCGCCAAAATCGTTAGTGAAAACGCCGTTACAAGAGTACGTGGAAGTTGCTCGCTCCGTACTGTTATAGGCTCTAGCAGAAGCAGAACATGAGGTATGACGTCATACAATGCTGGATACGAAAGCGGATTGCCGATCTCATTAGCCGCCCCTTTGAATGCTATGATGTCGCACGTCCTTAGGAAACTTCCCTAATTGATGTTTTAACAGTAAAGTAACTGACCTTTAGATTAGCTAATTATTTTCTCCTACCTTGGCAAGTTTTTCCATCGCCTGTATATCCTGCCCCGCAGGTACAGATATACGATCCGCGAGTATTGGAGCAGTTGGCATTGATGTCACACACAGGAGGAGAAGCACTGCACTCGTCAATGTCTAGAAAAAAAAAAAGCATATTGGGGTTCCACAAGGATCTATCGTAGGCTCCTTCCTAACAAAATAAAATCAAATAATAATAATAATGAATGAATAATGAAAATTTTCAACCTTGTTCGATCCCCGTTGAAAACGGTCTGAATTTCCTCAACAGGGAACAAACACGTCTTAAAGCTTTCTTCTTCTTTGCCATTGAGTTGTCCACGCCTGAACTCATCAACGTTTTTTATACATCTCTCATAATTCTTCTAAAGCAGAGTTTATCTATATAGGCTGTTTCAAAAACCTAGGGTTACCCGGTGCTGTTGCTTCATAATTTTGTTTTCCCTTTTCTACTGGTCTAGGTGGGCTATTAAGTAACTACAGCATTACTTTTCGCGGCTAAATAACGGACATCAAACGTTTTAATTCTTAATGCGCGGCCCTTTAAAGAATTTCTATACACTTACATGTACCCAAAAATTTTCTAATAACAGAAGTATAACCCAAGGTATGATGTCATGCACTGCCCGTAATTAAACGGACTGGATTCGATGGATTGCCGGTTTTTACAAGTCCCGCGGAATCTGCCATCTTCGTTTTTATCACGGGAAATCGACCTTTATCCTACCTTGGCAAGTTTTTCCATCGCCTGTATATCCTGCCCTGCAGGTACAGATATACGATTCACGAGTATTGGAGCAGTTGGCATTGATGTCACATACAGGAGAAGAAGCACCGCATTCGTCAATGTTTAGAACAACAAACATATTGATTGATGAAAAAATTATTGAAGGGCATTTACTCAGGCCCTAACATGAGACGCGAGCAGCACTCGTTCCTCCGTGAGAAGAGTCTTTTTCCCCTTAAAATTTCTCTGTTTTTCTCTGTGTCTTTCCAGTTTAAATCTACCGGTTAATTTTTCATTACCTCAGTCGCCGCATCTGTGACTAAATATGAAACATTTACGTCAGTCGTCTAATAATCATAAATTAACTTATAAGAGGGCGCAATCAGCTTAACGGCAGTCGCCGATTTATAACTGACTATAAACTCACCGTAGGTCTCCATATTACAATAAGCCAAGACAGATGTACCAGATTTTATAGTGGAAAACCAGTATTCCCCGCTAACAGCGTGTCCTTCACTCCTTTTTATTTCGTCACAAGTCTCAGCTGGTAGTTCTTGAATCGAACCAAGGGGAACTGAAAGGTTAAAAAACAATTCTTCATTATCACTTTGCCTTTACCCCAACATAGTTTTTAGTTTATGCTCAGGGCGCTACTCAACAAAGTTTTATAAAGGACCGTAGGTTCCGCCCCGAGGTCCAACGCCTTACCCTCTTGTACAAAATTTTTGACAAGGTAAAATCCCACGTTAAAGCTCTGGGCTTATATAACTTCATAAAGGGTTTTGGGTGGGCTTATAATGGGGGGGGCGAGGGGAGGGGGATATAAGGGGGAAAAAAATGTTTCGGACCGACGGGGTAAAACATATCTGAGCCGAATTAAAGCAAACATTCTATTATAAATTTATCACAATAAATGGAGAATGTATTTCAGAAACATCTATAAAACACTTCAACAACTGGAACGGGACAGGACTAAAGTCAAAAAACTTCCACAAACGGTCATGTTCCTATTTCACCTGCATAATTTCGTAGTTTCATGTTCCAATTCAAGTGGGGGGTGGGGATTATATCCAGAATAATATCTTCGTCAGCAAACGGATGAGTTTAAATCCGAGGGGGGCTTTAACGTGGGATTTTACGAAACTTTTGCATCCCTCTTAACTGCTGTAAATGCTATGTCTTTTAAACATGAATAAGCACGAAACCAGAAAAATTTCCGTGTTCTTTTTCTCATCCATAAGATGCATCTGTTAGCTCGTTTACTTTATTTTATCGGCCTGCAGAGATGACTAACTTTCCTACCCTTTCATATACTTTAAACTGTGAATTTTCTTAGCTCTTTCATATATATGAAACCTGACAAACGTACCCCGTTCGGGGAGCTTCCCCGTAACCGGCCAACTTAAGAGTATCCCCGGCACTTAATGATGGCTCACCTCTTTGTAAATTGCGTCGATAGTAAGATCTGTCTTGGTTTGCAATGAAGTCCTTGGGCCTTGCTTCTTTTGTCCTGTTGTTAAACTCACACATAAGACGAGAGATAACCCAGTTAATACTTTGGCATCGATTGTCTTCGCGACACTTCAGTACGCACGTAAACGGACGTTCAGCGAGAACAGTGTCGTACACGTGTCCTCGTAACATCCAGCCCAAAATGGACTTCTCTGATCTACCACCTGCAGGACATTTAGTCGTTACTGCGCTGTAGAGCAGGAGAGCCAGAACGAAGATACGGAAAACTATTCTTGCGGTCATATCTGGAATTAAAGAACATAAAAGTATTTTGTTAAAACACAAACTTTACAAAAGGTGAACTCAACCGATTAATTCGTCGAACGTTTGCCTATAGGAAATAACTTGCATACTGCAAAGCATCTAAAATAGCTAAGTTTCAAACCGAATTTGATAAAACTTGTAGAAACCATAACAACAACATTTTTGTTCGAAATAATTTGTTCGATTCCTCCTCTTCAAAATGCACTCGCTGGTTGTCAGCTAGAGGAATTAATAAGCCAGTAAAACACTTAGAACAGAAAAACTTACTCGAAGGTGGCTGCGTTTTGGCCAATTTCTTTGTTGTCACACGCACTTTTCTCCACGAATTTTCAATTTTACTGCCTTACATGAGAAATTCCCGGATGTTTCGCGGCATTCTGGGCGATAAGTTATTCTTCTAGTTGTTTTAAAATTCAAGATACAACATGGTTGCGCTTATAACTAGCTAAAGGCAAATAATTGTTGACTCCAGACGACAATTATTATTATTATAAAAAAAAAAAAAAAAAAACAGAATTACTACTTGAAACTTTCACTGGTTCTCTTCATCCACACCCTGCAAAAAAATAACCCTAGTATGTACATTTCTAAGTCAAGGCAAAACGTTTCTCGTTAAAACCCAGCAAAATGAAAGACCCATAAAAGCAAGTGAAATTGAGAAAACTCAAAAATAATCTCAGAAAGTAGCTAGAAAAGAAGCACTTAGAAACCCTTAAATCAGGTTTCTACGATTCATTTGTGGTGCGTATACAAATATGCTTCAACCTTGTTTAGATGTTTTTTTCTGGAGAAGAGTAAAGAATCGCAGAGTAAATTATCTGTACTAAACTATAACTGCTAGATATGTAACAAGCGCGTTTTTAACTAATCTTAAAATAAAAAATTTCAGTGACAATCCTTTTTACTCGCATTCACGTGTACCTTTATTTCAAAGATTTCAAAAATTTCTTGCACTTACTATAATACCTTTGACTGATAATTGTTTCCAATTTTGACGGCTAACGGTTAGAATTTAGTCAACTTTTGACGGTTATTAATTGGAAATTGGGTCCAAAAATTAACGTAAATATCAACTTCTGTATGAATTAATTTTAACTGATGTGTTTTGGAGGTTTTCTTGGCCTTTCACTTGTAAAATTTCAAAATATTTTCAGATACAAGCAGGTTGTAGGGTATTGTATTGTCTTGAAAGAATGTTTTTTTGGCATGAGAACTGGTTTTTCGAGTTTAGAAATTCTTTAGGGGCCGGAATTCCGTCAAGATTAGCTGAAATAGTGAGATTTGAAACACCTTGAAACTTTTTGACGGTTGACGATCAAATATAACATTTTTTGACGGTTGACGGTGAATTGTCAGGCCGTTGGACGACTGACGGTAAACCCCATTTGGACTTTCATGCCAGACAAATTATTACGCCATAAGCTAATGCTGTAACTTCAAAAAAAGCCTTGTTTATTTTAGTCAATTTCAGAATAATATTTTAAATGCAACAGAATCCAGGAGCTTGGGATATTTTCGTAGCTTATGTAAAAGAAAATTTTAAGCTTTTTTACGTTGTTTGCGTTTTCTTTGGCTCATTGATTGGTTTATTTTTCTTTCTTGCTTAGAGTGCAGGAACCTTTCCAATTAATCGCTGAGGCACCTGTGACAAGACCTAACAAAAAACGGCATATCTACCATCAGGAGCTTCTAATAAACAAATAAACAACCACGACGGCGACAACATGAAGAAAATTTGCGTCGTTTTTCTAGCTAGTTAAAATGCAGATCGACTTTTAAGTTATTGTTTTAAAAAACAATGTCAAAACAAAAACCGCATCCAAAGTGGGAAAGAAAGCGAAAAATTTGTCGTCGTTTGTTGACGTCTTTTACAGACCGGAGTCTTAGTATCTCGTAAAGGATTACAAATGTTTTAAAAAATAAGATGCATTAGTGCAGATTTGCAAATGTCCGATCCTGGTCTATAGAGGCGTTTTTGTTCAGAAGTTTAACTCCGTATTATTTAGAAACTTAAGCTAATGTTTTTTCGTTATTCAAGGTGTAATCTGATTATTTATCTTGCTTGGCGAAAGCGAAAACAAAGGAAACCTTAACAAGAACAGTCAAAAAGTAAAAATTGCACTTACAGGAGAGTTCTGTTACCATGCTCTTTTCTGAGACTAGAGTTTTACAAGTTCAATTCTACAAAGTGGCGATGTTCGCAGTAGCGTGCAAAGTTTTGCCTCTTCCACGACATGCATATTGCCAATTAAAATGAACTGAACATTTTCAAATGGTTGCTTTTAAAAATTCCTTTTACAAAGACATACCAAATATGAAGTTATTTATGTCTATAAATGTTTCATAGAAAAGACAGTTTTAGAGCCCCTCATCTTGACAAAACCGATTTCTAAATTCTACGTAAACCCCGCAACAGGGCATCATTTCACCATAAGAAATATCGTTTAATGCTCGATCCTCTGATACCCTTCAGAAAATGTATTTAAATTCAAAAATAAAAAGCACAAGCAGGAATGTTGTGAACTGAGATTTTAAAGCCCATTTTTAGAATTTTGTTGTATTATTTTTGGCTCACGAACCGACAGTTTTCTGCACTAAGCGCTCAGCTAAAATAAAAAATCAAAATGTGGCCCTCAAAGAGTGACAGAAGGCTTTCAAAACTCTATTGTCACTCTTTCGGTAATTGGCACCTTATTGTTTTATAAGGTTTATATAAAAATAGTCGTTCATCTGGACAAAGAAATGCTTTTTTGTTTTAAAATTTTCGAGCATCTACGCTAACGCAGATGACTTCGCGCCCGAAGGGTCGAAAAGACTCAAAAAAGAATGAAACTAAAATTAAAAGGTAATCTTCCAAGCCCTCGGCTTTTAGTCGTTCTTAGCGCTTCGTCACGACTAGCTTCCTCCCTTACGAACGTCCTTCGTGGAAGAAGATGATGTAAGAAAGCCTGACGAAGTAGTCTGAGAAGGAGGCTATAATGTTCCTTATATATGAAAAATAAACTGCAGAATTAAAAAATAAATCTGACTGCAAATGCAATTCGATGCATAGTAAATGTATTTAGATGGATCCATTAAATGAAATCTTATGCACAACGATTTTACCTGTGTTTTTTCAATTCCTGTGAATTTTGAAATCTACTTTCTCTTGCCCCCATAAGAATCTTTTCTTTGGAGTTATTTCATATAACTTATTAGATTTATAGCCCTTCAAAAGTGTCAAAAAAAAAAAAAAAAAAGCGATACTAGGGCTTAAAATGCTCTGGTACAAGGTCAAGGTTTTTGTCCACTAAAAATTAAAATTAGTCAGCTCCCTAATGAAGTTCGTCTTAGCTCATTGTCTCCGGCAAGAATTTTAAAATGTAACTTTAAAAAATCATATCTCTGCTGTTATTTACAGTTCCATTTTAAAGCTATACCTCATTGGAAAGGGAAAAGAATACCCTTTCAAACAAAAAAAATTATTCCGGCCTCAGGAAACCTATAATATTCCGCAAATAAAAATTAACAAAGCATATTTCTGCATAATAATTTTTCACGTTTATAAAGAATGTCATTTTGTCGGGGAAAATGTCTATTTTGTGTAATATGGCAGTAATATTTTTTTTTTCCAATATCTAAGCAAAACAACCCGAAAATCGTTTGCAAATATAGAGCGGCTGAGGATTATCATTGATTAGCATAATTAGCATAATGAAATTCCATACTTTAGCGTCACCTCGTGCTCAGTGTTTACTTTGCAAAGACGCTTTGTTTTTCTAGGTCTCCATCGAAATATCGAGTTAAAGACGAGCAAACATGATTTAAGGTGACTCGACCCTGTTTTTTTGGCGGGGTACCATCCTACTTTGAAGCTCTCTGGTATCCCCACCTTTACTTTTATCGTAAGTCTAACACATAGAATGGATAACATATAGATCAATCTACAATATAACATAAAATTTTTGGCGATCGGAGTAAATGTCACGTGGTTATAACGCCACGCCCCTTTGAGGTCTGAGTCGAAAATCTGCTGTTGCCTGCATTTTTTCGTGAAAATCTCTCGGCTACACATAGTGCGCATTAGTGCCTTGCGCTGAACAGAGTTTCACCAAAATCGCAAAGACCCAATTCGAGAAATTCAGTGCTTTCCAAATTTAGGTCATAATTTATGCGAAAATGATAAGCAAACTTTACACGAATATATCTAATAAACTATGAGATTCATCCCTTTATTTTGGGCATCGTGATAACAGATGGGTCCTTGCAAGTCTGCAAAACGCTTTAGGGCCTTGTAAATGCGCGCGATTTCGAGCAAAGCAAACATATAGAAATGATAGTTTTTGCTATTTGTTGACGTTTGTCAGCGTTTAAGAGTCCTTCTCACGAAAAAAGCATTTTCTTAAAAATTCGTAGTTTTTTTCCTTCAAATTTTTTCAGGGCCACGATTGATTAACTAACTCCCCGGGCTCTGAATTTCATGGCCATTGAAAAACTCTGACATTATCTTCTATAAGCCCAAACTTGAGTAAACATTGAAGATTTTTAGCGTTTTAGCTGAGTTTGTGCTTTGGAAGTTGTCTATTGTTTCTGGTCTGTCATTCTACAGCATTCTTGTTCAGCACGCGTGCAATGACCACGTTTGGCTGACTTCCGAATGCTCACCGACTAATATGATAATTTAGTATGAGAAAATGGAATTGATTCCCGTCACGAGTTGGTTTAATTATTGGCTTGCATTAAACTTATGAAAAAATGATATTTTTTTAATAGTAAGTAGATTTAGTGTGTAGCACTTCTTGATTTTTTTGCAAAGGCACAAGAAGCACGAGAATTGATTAAAAATTGTGAGTTAAACCTCTATGTATCACGCGATGGCCTGTCTCACCGTACCGGACGACCACAAACTAGTGTCCTTTGACGTGAAATCGCTGTTCACCAGTATTCCACTTCAACTGGCTCTAGACTGTACTGCGAACGCTATTAAGAACTCCACTGTT